CCAGCTCCCTCGGCCGCACCTCGAGTACTGTGTTCAGTTTTGGGCCCCTCACTACAGGAAAGACATTGAGGCCCTGGAACGTGTCCAGAGAAGGGCAACAAAACTGGTGAGGGGTCTGGAGCACAAGTCTTATGAGGAGCGGCTGAGGGAGCTGGGGTTGTTCAGTCTGGAGAAGAGGAGGCTCAGGGGAGACCTCATTGCACTCTACAACTTCCTGAAGGGAGGCTGTGGTGAGGAGGGGTTTGGCCTCTTCTCCCAGGCAAATAGTAGGACCCGAGGAAACGGCCAGAAGTTGTACCAGAGGAGGTTTAGGTTGAACATGAGGAGAAACTTTTTCTCTCAGAGAGTGGTCAGGCACTGGAATGGCTGCCCAGGGAGGTGGTGGAGTCGCCGTCCCTGGCAGTGTTCAAGAGGCGCCTGGATGAGGAGCTGCGAGATGTGGCTTAGTAGCTTGTGGTACTGGGAATGGGAGGGTGGTTGGACTGGATGATCTTGCAGGTCTTTTCCAACCTTGCGATTCTATGATTCTATGATCTATAAGCAATTAATATGTTGTTTTTTTTTACTTCCTTCCAGGAAGTATCTAATGAAGAAGGATGAATTTGTTCTACAGGATGATAATTGCAGAGCACAAATATGTGGTAAAAATGCTTATAAATCAACAGATTTCATGATGGAATCAAAAAGACAAAGTCTTAAGTTGAGAAACTGGTTTTGGCTCTTATCAGCAGAGAAATGAATGACAGCACAGGGTAAATTGCCCTATTACTAACACAAGATCTATTTGGCCACAGAAGAACTAGAAACAAACTGCTTTAGCAATATTAGAGGCATTATTATATAATAAACAATATACTCCTAAGTATCCAAATTAACTGCATATTCATATATTTAAAAATATAAATTAACAAGAAATGATTAAGACAGGTCAACAGATAGAGAAATAGAAATCAACATATTTTTTGTATTACATGCAGGTGCTAGTATCGTGACTCATAAATATACTTTCTCTCCAAAGTATGAAGACACAAGCTCAAGCATTTTTTATAGCAATTGAGTCTGACCAAAAAGAGGATACACTAAGTACAGTCAATAAGGTTGAACAATTACATATTGCCCATTTTCTTATATAAGAAAATTCTTATATTATTATATATAATATATAATATATAATATATATATATAAATATAATATATATAATATAAAAATAATATATATAATATAATTATATATATTATTATATAAGAATATTCTTAAAATAAATAGAAAGCAATAGAAATTATGCCTTACCTTCCATCTCTATCCCAGTCATACACCTCTACTTTAATTGTCCTAAAAAATTTGAGAAAAACACAATTAAAATTCATATTCTAATGTACAAAATTGAATTTTATATTTAAGTGCATTTGGATACCTCAACTGTGCCAAAGCTAGAAGACCACATTTTCCTGTTGTTTCTTATTGTGAAGAAAAAAGTCACTCAGGTTACTCAATATAAATTCATAAATGAATAGTAAAATATAGTAAAAGCTAAGGGAACAAATAATTCAGGGGGGTTTGTTGTTGTTGTTGTTTGTTTGTTTTTCTGATTGATTCTTTAAACATTAAAGTACTACCAGCCTTTTTAAGAAGGTTAACAAAATGAGACTCATTGTGAGTTATTGGTATTGGTATTATGTGGGAAAGGAATATCTACTGTGAAGTAGTAACACCTTTCAGAAAAAAAAATAATGTACCCATATTTGAGAAGAGAAACGTCTTCCTTTGAGAAGAAGAGAACTTGAGCATGTCATTATGTAGCACAAATTCTTCGGTAGCATTGAGCAGATTAAAAACAGTACAAAACCAAGCAAATCAAACTTCTAAAATTCTACATCATACATTTTGGTTGTTAAACAAAAGTAACAACACCAGAATAAAAGAAAACTTCAATCTGTTAGATGGCACGAACCTCTGCTAAACAGTCTGCAATAGTGAAGAATGAAAAGTGTGTGATTCACCCAAGATTTGGGGAAGGCCCTCTATGTGGCTACCAACAAAAGAAATCTGTTGCGCTTTTAACCCATAAGCTGCCTCTTACTCCACAACAGAGGAAGATGCTGCTTGGATATCTGACCAAAAAGGAAAGTGCAGCATCATTTCTTTGAGTTCCCATAAAGAAAACAGACTAGATTTTTAGTTCTTTCATCAACTCATGTTAGATAACCACCAGATTATGCAACCTAACCATGAATAATCTGGCTTCCTAGAATTAAATGGGATAATTAAATTAAATGGGATACCCCATTAGGGTATGGGTGGATACGCAGACAGAGTTCACTCAGAAGCATTAACTGCAGAGAAATTACTCTACCTAAAACTAGAATTAATGTTTACTGTGGCATATATTCTTACCAATTACATTACTCTCACCTTTCAACATCTTTCACAGAACCAAGGGTACCATAATCTGATCTGTAAAACTATCATTGTCTGAAAGAAACCAAGCTGATCATAGGAAACTAATCCTCACCTTTGGAAAGAAAAGTTTTCATGCTTAAAAAAGCAAACAATAACAAACTTTGGATGCTTCTTCTGGATCATCAGCCAATACTAATTTGAATTTGACAGCTAAAGTATTTTTCCTGATGTCTAATATGATTATTATAGGGAGGACTGTTAAGATCCATTGAGTCTTTTATTTGTAAGGCATTCACATTATGTAGAAAGAATCAAAAACATGATAAAAATGGGAAAGTAGTTACACAACAATCTGAGGCATATCATTGTATTTTTAAATTCTCTTTAGAGGTGTTACAATATTGCATTTGACACATCTCTATAACATTATTATCAAAGAGTTTTATTTAATACGATAAACAGTGCAGTGCACAGAGCATCATCATAAGCATTATTTTGCTTTGCATTATGCGTATAATCCATATACAAGTTAAAAATTACACCTGATTAGAACACACTTATTATGAAATCAATGCAATTTTTTCCATCTAATTGAAACAGAAACATGAATGATAATAACTGTAGCAAATATTCCACTAGGCGAGTGGAGGAAGAAGTGCAGAAGAACCCTTTTTCCTTAAATTTCAAGCAAGATGATACCAAGTACTGGAAATGGATGACAGACAGAATAAAGTAGCCATGATCCAGTAGGAAATGTGAAGAATGGACATTCCCAAAAAGAATGATTAAGAAAAATACCCACTTCCCTGGCAAAAGATCTGAATTAGCTTTTGACCCGTCAGTTTCTAAGCGGCTTATAACAACAGAACCTTATTTCTGTGAAAGCATTACATTTAGCTTAGTGAATATACGCACTTCTTACTGTCCTACTCTTCAATATACACTACTTGGATTAAGTCAAGTGAAGCACAGACCAGTACAAGCATTGGTTTCTGTTTATATCCTGGTATTAGCCAGTAAATCATGACTTGATTTGCTTCCCAAAAGGCCAGCCTTCATGGTAGCCTTACAACAGATTACAGTAGCTTTACTCCATACATTTCATTGAATAATTACTGTTGCAGTTTCCATGGAAATAAATAAGAGGCATTACATTCAGAGCAACCTACATACAATGTGCAGGTCATATATTACTCTTACTGTTCTTCTAATCCTCATATTTCGTATTTCCTTCATTATTTTAATCTCAATATTACACTACACACTTCTAAAAAAGTACAACTAACGCTAAGCCTACATTTCCTTTGAGTCTTACTGAAGTAATTTAAATACTCCAGATTTCATGTAGTAATGATAGATAGATAACCAGACATTTATCTGGCTACATAATTATAACAGCATTATCTTGATTCATATCCAAAATACAAATAGCGATGATGGAATAACAAGTCATCATCAGCAACTTAAACACTTCACTGATACTGTTAGAAGTTAAGAATTCAATTTTTAAGGACTCTACAAAAATCCACAACCTCAACTTAACTACCTAGCTTGTTAGTAAAACATTGGTAAAAACACGGTTTATGACCATGTTTTTCAGTTATACACCCTTTTGTATGGGATCACTGAAAATTTCAAATCTGAACAACATGAGGATTAAACTCTGGGTATCTCATGTACCAGTAACAGTGTACATTCAAGTTGTTTGGTTTTTCTTTTTTCTTTCTAATTATTTCTTAACCACCACAGAGAATGAAATCACTGCTAACATTTCCTACAGATTTATCATATTGGCTTTATTTCTGTAAATTTATTGTGGTGTTTTGAATATATATCCTTTCAAAATGTTGACAAAATAACACAAGTAACAGAATTGTTATGAAAAACTATTTTTATTAGGAACAATCTATATCAGGAGAAAAATCTGTGTATGCCAGGAAAGCTTAACATGCAGCTTACCGGTCATAGTCTCCATTACACAGTGCTCTGACAGAAATCTTGAATGCCTGCCATACTGGATTTAATGTATTTTTTATGACTTCTGTTTTGTGGCAGATTGTAAAACTGCAATAAAAAAAAAGATATAATTTGTATTTATTTACTTTTTATTTTGAGTCACCAAACACGCAATACAAAGATATATAATCTGTACGCACTGGTACAATGTCCATATAAAGCTTAAGCTAAGAAAACAAGTCCAGGAGAAGAGAGGCAAGGAGAACTAATGAGAACAGATCTATTTGTGAGTGACTATGGATGAAGGCATTATATAATTCTACACCTAAATTTTTTTTTACCTCACAAGAATTACAATCATTCAGTGAGCTAGTTCAGAGAAGTGCAGGATATGATTCCTGTTTAACAGGTAAGAAACACAGTCAAAGGAGTCTTGACTTTCTCATGCTTGTTCATCACTTTAGGTTTGTTTTTTTTTGTTTTGTTTTGTTATTGTTTAAACCAGGGTAGTCTCAAACAAAACATATTAAGCCTTCATGAGATTCCATGATCCCCTTCTCTCAAATGAAATATATATGAAATTTATTCGAAATATAGTATGCTTTACTCATTATGCTTTCTCTAAATGATGCAAAATGAAAATACTTTTTTTGAATCCTCATCTTGATTAGTGAACTGTGCAAAAGAAAACAGGAGACAAGGTCTCTATTGAAATCAATACTGAAATCCCACATACACATAGATGCAACTAAAGTTGCCCTTTGAAAGTATGTTTCTGAAGTTCCAAAGGTGCATGTTCTTATCTGAGAAATTACTAGAAGATATATATAAAAAATGTTTTCTATCTGAGCAATTTTTTGAATTATCTTTTCTAGATCGCTGTTAAAAAAATAGATCTAATTTTGCAACATAAAGAATTTTCATCTAAAACAATATATAAGCATTAGCATATTTTTGAGTTGTGATTTTCTTCAAGTTTTCTGTTTAAAAGCATGTCTGCTGTTTAACAGTTTTTACTATGACTAATTTTTATTGTGATCTGCATTTACCATATGTTCAACTCCTAAAAACTCTCGGTTGACGTATTTAATGTTTGTTACAATAGTTTTATTTCTGTGTTGCCTGAATTAAAATTCAATAAATTTAAAAGAAATGCAGCTTAATCTGACAAATATTCAGAAAGGAAAACTATTTCACTATCTGCAAATAAATAAAATGCTATGCTTAGGAGCAGAAATGTTTAGCAGGTATCTACCTGCCATCTTCATTGCTTCGATGAAATACCAGGAAAGGATCAGATTTCCCAAAGAAGTCCTTCTTGTCTAGTTTGTTCGCACAAAATTGCATTAAAACTGAATCCTGAAATTGATAATACAGAAAAATTAAAAAGAGCACGCAGTTTGTTTAAGGAAGATTCAGAATATATTTGACTACTAACCATACAAACAGAAAACAAAATCTCGCATCTAGATGCTTTCTACTTATTCATATTCTTGCAAACACCCTTATAGTGCAGCGTGAACTGCTAAAACAAAGAATTCATCCATAGAAGCGTGCAAATGAAGTTCTTCGCTAAATACCTCACAATGTTTCAAGTACTTTCTGACATCTAATGCTGCATTTTCTGGGAAGTAGATGCAAAGCTAAAGAACGCATTAGAATTAATTTTAAAAGCTGCAGTGGGACACAACTAAGTCTCATTCCTTCAGCGACTTAAACCTGCAACTTCCTGCTCTTGCTGCCCATAAAGCAAATAGCTTAGCAACTTGCTATTGAGATGCCAGAAGTTTCCAGAAAACGAGACTGGAAGGTACCAAATGAAACCATTCTCACGCTGTTTTATCCAGGCAAATGGACAGATTGCACACTATCATATCTTCAGGTAGAGTCAAGTGCCAGAAGGATTATATGCAAAAATAAACCTAGCTGACTGAGGCAGGGCCCTACTGGATGACTTTATTCCATTATTAGGTCTACATGTGTAACAAAAGCAAGAAGACTAGAGAAAACATGGTCCACCCCTGACTGGGGTAGGGGAGCAGCTGACAGAGGAAATGGAAAATTTGTTTCCTCATACTCTTCTGCCTTCGCTTTTACTGCTGAGAATACTGACTTTGAGAATCCTGGGCACCTGAGACCAGTGGAAAAGTCTAGAACAAGGATGACTCTCCTGGGGAGAAGAGGACCAAGTGAGGGAACATTTAAATAGATCAGACACACACAAGTCCTGACAGGATGCATTTGTAAGTGCGGATGGAGATGGCAGTGTCACTGTGACGCTATTTTCAATTATCTTTATTAAGTTCCAAACTGCTGAGCTTCAAGGAATTGGGATTAACATACAAAGTCCAGCTGGCAATGAGTATGTAGCTAAGCAGTCAATAATGGAGCCAGTAACAATTAACATCTTCATTAATGAAACAGAGCAGACCCTCAGGAAGTTTGCAAACATTGCAAAGCTAGATATAGTGGCTTCTCCATCAGCTGCTTGAGCCACTACTCAGAGGGACCTGTGTGAGCTGGAAAAACACAACAACGTGAACACCATGAAGTTCAACGATGGGAAATGAACTTCGAGGTCAATAAGGTCCTGCACAAATACAAGCTGCAGGACAAACAGCTTGAAAATAGTTTTGCAGAAAAGAACCAGGTGGGCTTGATGGACATGGATCATGGACTGTGAGCCACCAATGCATACACTGCAACTAAAAAGGCCAACAGCCTCTTGTGCTGCACTGAGTAGAGCACTGAAAGGAAGCTGAGAGAAATGACTCAGTACCAGTGATGGCATACCTGGAGTACTGTATTCAGTTCTGAGCTTCCCAGTACAAGAATGTAAAGGACAAATAGCATTAATTGCAGAAAAAGGGATGCTAAGATGACTGACTGAGTGACTGAACTGCCCCTCATATTAGGAGTAGCTAAAAGAGATGAGATTCTCTTAGTCTGGAGAGAAGGCTCAGGAGGATCTTATTAATTTGTACAAATACCTAAGGAGGAAGTAAACAGACTCCTCCTCACTGGTATTCAGGGGACAGAAAAGCAGCAATAGGTACAAAATGAAATACAGGAAGCTTCATTTAAATACAAGTGAAAAAAAAAAAAGACTTTTTACCCCGAGGGTTGTGAAACATTGGAAGAGACTGCAGAGTCTCTGAATATACTCAAAACCCAACTTCACAGAGCCCTGAGCAACCTGCTCTAAGAAAAACAGGAGGGCTAGACTAGACAATCTCCCAAGGTTCCTTTCAACCTTAGCAATTCAATGATTCAAAAAATCTTTGCCATTTTAAAAATAAACTATCCAAAAAAAATCTCAGATCAGTTAAGAATTAATCTAAATAAGATCTAAAATAAGAATTAATCTAAATTAATCTAAATAATGAATAACCTTAGATATGAAAATATCCCAAAGAAACGATGCGACAGTCCACGAGGAGAGCAAGAGACTGTGTCTGAGAAAATGATAGAGAATGAAGAGACTACAAGAGAAAGAGCGACTGATTTACAAACTCACTGTAAGGTCCTTTCAGTGACTTCACACAAAAGTCATAATATATGCAAGTTTTAAGTGAGGTGAACATGAAGGCCTTCAATTACACCTGCTGTTTATGTTCATTAAAAGGGAAAGAAAATAATCCTATATCAATTATGATGATGTATCTGTGACTTTTGAATGGTATAACTGAGATGCCAGTACCAGTACTGAAGGATAAACCAGAATATCATGAAAAAATACTCTGCAGCCTCCTTAAGGGTTGCTTACAAATGCTCAGTGATGGCAAACTAGTCTTAAGAATCGTGAAGCAGAAAAGTAATTTCAGTACAAAATCAATTAAACGATTCATCCATTTTGTCATCTGATAAAGCGTTAAGGTTTTGATCAGGTACTACCAAAATTTTGAGCAAAAGTAAACAAAAGACAGGCATTTTCCATGACTGTACATCACTTGTGCTAGTAACACAAGAATTTCCTATTAGTATACAAGATGGCTACCACTTCCTAGCAACTTTCATATCATCAGGTTTGACAACACTTAGTATTTACTAATGCCATAAATATTCTACCGCAATGGAAGGAGAGGTGTGAACACAGGCTGAAAGACAATGTCATTGTGTAGAGCAATGTCAAAGTTAGTACCCACTCCCAAGTAGGTCAAACATTTGTATACAGAAAAAAAATGCCAGAGCAAGAAGCCAATTTCTTGAATTGTAGTTAGATTTTTTTTCCATTTAAATCTGACAGATAAGAAAGGAAAACAAGGATACTCCTTAGCAAAGGACAAAAACAATAAACAAAGCCTAATTAAAAGTGGCAGGATTAGGAATAATTTAGCCTAACAAATTCCATCTCAAGGACAAATTTTTCTGTTCTACTTGCTATCAAATCCAAAAGAAAATTAGGTGTCCACTGCTTCTTTCAGAATCTCGGCCAAAAAATGACATACTTTTTATAAATCCATTATTCCAATACTCATTATTAGCAGAGAAAAGGTAGTTTGTACAAGAGCACTCCCACAGATGCTGTTAATGGCAGTTAAATGAAACTGAGCTGGAGCACCCTATTAGCATAACTGTGCAGGACTGGTAGTTTGTCTGGCAAGAAAGATTTTAGCCTTTGTGCTGTTCACATATACCAAATCTGCAGAGAAATAATACAAACTTAACTAAGCTAGAAATAAGGCAGAAAATTAAGGATTGTTTTCTTATAGAAGGTATTTCTTCTAATGAACTTCAGAAAATAAACAGACTAGCTACTGAATATATTAGTAATAAGAGCGACATTATGACTGCAGAAATAGAACAACAATTAACAGCTTATGGCCCAGTATGAAAGTTGTATCTAATATAATACTGCCCAGCTCCCCTGGATCTCACCAAATACCTGACATTATTTCTTTCCTCATTTAAGATTGGTACCTTGTCAATGTAAGCTCTTCTAAGATACATACTACAGCCTCATTTAATATACACCATACTTGGACTAGCTCCCTCACCTTCAGATTCCAACCCTTGTTATCATACCATCCTTCCTTATTCTTCCTTCCAGTCTCTGTTTCTGTATGATTTATGGCTTGTTGCTAGCTCATTCAGTGCTGGAAAGCAAAATAGCCTGGCTCCAAGTACTTCCTGGTCAGTATGACTTCTCCTCTGTCCAATCTACTCCATGATCCCACAAGAGGAGGAAAAGTGGTGATGTAGTTTGGGAAGGTCAGGATCACACCAGGTCTCTCCCCTTAACCAGCGAAATTCCCCACTGTCTGCTACACACTGAGAAATTTTTTTGCTTTCTGCTAAAAATGTAGGCATTTGCCATTAGTATTTGCATTTCCCCAGGCAGCCTTCACTTTAAATGAAACTGCCTGAACTCTTCTTTTATGGAAATTCTTTTAGTATCTATGTAGCATTTTTCAATAAACATTAACTTCACATTTCTTTAAATAATAGGACTCACTATTAGTATGTTGTTTTTTTTTTAATTCTAAGTTCAGTTTTACTGTGATGATCATGCAATATTGATATTCCATGGCAATAGCAATGTAATTCCATAGCTAAAACAAATGGATTTTTGTTAAAAACGGGACACTAAGAGATTAAAATATGATTACTTAAAGAATTAAAGACTAGATTAAGACTCACGAATAAAAAACTTTACATTTCAAGTTGTTTTTTGCTTCCTTTTTTACTACATAAAGCTAAGTGTAGCTGATAGGGAAAAAATAACCTAACTTCTTATAGATGTCATAAAATGGAAATTAATACATTTTACTTACAACAATCTGGTGCAATCACAACCATTTTCACTTAATTGTTCAGAAAGCAATGAACACACACTTACTCGACAACAGCCCAGTTCCTCTGCTGTTACGATGACAGTTCCACATTTTTTCCCAGGAATGCCTCTACAAGAAAATGAAACCACATCACCTCAGTACTGTGAATGGTACATTTAAGAAACTTAAACTGACAAAGATAAACACAAGTTTTCAAGTCACAAAACTGATAGCATGCCATGAAATTTCACTCCTCAGCGAAAAGGACTCACTTGGCTGAGTAAAAAAGTTGGTTAGATTAAGTGAATGGCATATTCCTTCCAATTTGCTTTAAACAGAATAGTTTGGTTTTAAAGGAAGTAACATAAAAAGTTTAAATGGAATGAAACGACAGTATCAGAAGTTCTGTTTTCTTTTCATTAATATTTCATTTAGAGATGGCTGCACAACTTATAAATTTACAAAAATGATCCTTTCACAGATTTGCCTTAAAGAAAATGCCTAAAATAAATTTAAAGCTACACACGAGCCTCATTTTTACAAAGATACTAAAACTGAAATGTTTATGAAGACACATAGTAATTTCACCATAGTTTTAGATAGTTATATAATAAATCATAATTCATACAGCAGCAATTAAGTACGTGCTGTTGCAACATCAGAAAGTAAAAAACAAATCTTTGGCATAAAAAACGATACAGGAACAGAAAAGTCAAATAATCTGATAATATTTGTTTTGCAGGAAAAAGAAGTACATATATTCAAGTACAACTTTGCTGCCATATCCTAGCATCCATTAATGTGTCCATAAGCACATACCTTGGTAATTACTACTGGATTTTTTTTTCCAAATTGAATGTTGTTGTTTATGCTAATTTTATTTCTAGTTCGTTACTCCTATCCTTCTTTCTTGAAATTAAATAATTATTTGAATAAAAGGAGACAATGAGGTAAAATTAGATTTTTAAATTGACTATATTCTTCAAGTTTTTCAAAGACAGCTAAAATGCACTCACACTCTTCTCTTGTGATACAATATCAACATATACATCCACTATTCTTATTTTTGCTTACTAGTTTCCTTAGCCCTTTCGAAATAATTTACAATGCTCTAAAGCCTTAAATTGTTCAGCAAGACCGTGGTACACAGCACTGCATTGCAGAAACAAATTCAATGACGAAAAGAGAACAATGCCATTTTAATTTCTAGGCAACACTACACCTTATCTGCAAGCTGTAGAAATGGGAGACGGGAGAGAGCAAGAGACAGACCTGAAAGAGACAGACAGGCACAGGAAGTGGAGGAGAGAGGAGGGGAAAGAGAGAGAATTGGGAGGAAATAAAAAAAGAGAAGTGGTGGGAGAAAGTTCTTACAAGCAGATCAAAGATTAGAAATTATGAATACAGAAGCAAAGATTGACGCAAAGCATATATAAAGATTTTGAAAGCTCACTGAAAGTTCCTTTGTAGAATGTGATGCTTATGTCTACAAGGAATGTATCAGGGAATGCTGCTCCTATGCCATTGCAGCCATTAACCAGTAATCACAGAAATGTGTGATTCCTCACCTGGAACCAGCACAGTCAGTGCAACAAGATAAGTCTGATTTAACATAAAATATAATAGAGAGGGAAGCTATTCAAGTTCTTGATTATATATTTTAACTGACAATTTAAATACATACAAATCATCACAGAATCACAGAGTGGTTTGGGTTGGAAGGGACCTTTGAGATCATCCAATTCCAACATTCTGCTACAGACAGGGACACCTCCCTCTAGACCAGATTGCTCAAAGCCCCATCCAGCCTGGCCTTGACTGCCTCCAGGGTGGGAGCATCTGCAAACTCACTGGGCAACCTATTCCGGTCTCTCATCACCCTCATAGTAAAAAAAAATATTTCTAATATCTAGTCTAAATCTACCCCCTTCCAATTTAAACCCTGAGACACCTCCATTCAATGTGGCTTGATTTATAAAGTACAATTCAATTTAAGACCAAGCAGGAGAATTTTTTAAAAACAATAGGAAAAAGAATCTAGTCACTGCAAATATTATACAGTATGATTTATAGTTCAATCCACTTCTTGTAATGATTTGGTTTGAAATCTGCCACCCTCCAATGGCTCAATGCCTGAAAACTAAGGGATACTGACTTGTAGTCTCAGACTTTCTAAAGATGAAAAAACTTGTGTTTTTTTACTTAGGAAGAGTACCTCAAAAACTTTTGAAATTTAGTAATAAGAGAAGCAGCAGAAATGACTTAGTTAGAACAGTGATACTGAACTTACATGGAAAAATGTTTCAAAGAACAAATGGCCATGAGCCACGCTTTGATGGATAAAGAAGAAAATAGAAATCTCAGAAGTATAAGTAAAAATCCAGAAGGTCCCAATACCACAATTCTGTAGGCTATGTTACTCAAATAGAAAGAACCGTTATCAGAATTAGCATTACCTGAAGCAAAACTCTTGCTGCACAGACATGTGAGTACGGGATAGACTCAAATCAGCATTAGGGATTTATTTGACATGTGGTCCACACAGCGACTTACAAACAAAAGCAATGTGCAAGTCTTCTGGTGTGGAAAGACCAATACATTTATCCCACTTCAAAAAAGTTGTTGTGTCTCAATGTAGATCATGAGAAATAAAATTTTGACCATTTCCTGAAGAGCTGGAGAACTAAAGCAAACTGCTGATAAGCAACCTCTATTTCTGAGACACTGTATCTGCAGCACCAGAATAAGCTTGAAAAGACACTCTGACTTAACGAACTGAAAGGAAGGATCTTGCTAGAGTCAGTGGAAAAGTCAGAGAAAGATGACAATTAATACTGAAATCTGAATATCTGAGAATAAACAGAGCCTTAAATTTGGCAAGCTGAAACTGCAGTGAGGCAGAAGATTAAATTTTTTAATGATCTGAAAAGTGCTCACCATCTTATTCCTGAATTGATAGAACCTAAACTCTCTGGCAGTCACTGCCACAGGCAAAAGTATAGGACACATATATAGGAAGTGCCTATTCCAGGGCTCAAATATATTTTTTCTATCAATTATGTTGGCAGCAAGATGACAAGAGAAAGAACTTCCCCAAACAGGCCAGCTGGATCCAGTACAGCCTCATTAACAAGCAGTGGCACTCAGATGTGAATAACTAGTGTACAAGGCTTATTAAACTTTGCAGCGTCTCTGCCTCATTGTTAAAGGGAATCCTGATAGGAGTGCACTTAGTAGGTCCTGGAAGGAACATTTCTCAAAATTGTAAATGTAGTTAGGACATATCTTCTCTCTAGGAAGATAGAACATGCAAATATCAATTTGTGAAAAATTTCAAGGAAAGTGATGGTCACTTGAGAGAAAAATAAAGCTGCACCAATTCTGAAGTAGATAGATTTGCACCTCATTCTTTCATTTTCATACAAATTGAGCACACAAGGTCAGTCCAAGTAATTCTTACACAGGGCTTGATTTGAGAAAGCATTTAATGAATTGAGTAACTCAGAAGTTAAAGAGAGCAAAAATTATTGTTAAAATGACAAATTACCCATTTCACCTGCCCTGTGTGACTAGATTTATTTCCCAGGAGAAACGAGCCAGAGGAAATGTTCACATTTGTACTTGTCCAGTTTGTAAAACAAAGTGCAGCAATAAAGAACTGTTTGTGAGCTCAAAGGCTCATAGGCAGTCACAGGCACAATAGATTAGAACACTACCATTCTGGAAACAAGAGTCCTCTGCTACTGACAGGCATTAATGGGCTTTGAGAAGCAGAAACAGAAACAGAAACAGAAACAGAAACAGAATGGGAGGTTGAGGAGATATCCTCATACCTTCCAATAGCAAATACTATTAAATTCACTCCATGGCATAATTTACTGGAGCTCATAAAACCAACAAAACTGCAAGTCATGCCTGTGATGAAGCCAAAGAAGAAAAGTGCACATGTTTATCTTCGTTTTTGCTCTCACCACGAAGGACAGTACCATGACATGCATTTCAACCTGCTGGATAGATCACTGTAATAGTGACTCTCTCAACTTGAGATCTGTATTTTCATCTTGATGAGGTGGAGAACAAAGGTATTTTATCCTGAAAAGGTACAGAAGGGAACTTTCCCCGGTGGTGAGCGGTCTGACTTAGCCTCCATGGTAGTCATGGGCTCTCAAATCTCGTAAGGTTTTTGTAGATGTTCAAAGTGCAATCTGCAAATCCTTCTAACTTTCATTTTGGAAAAATGTCAGAGTTTACTTGAATGTCAGTGAATTCAACCTCAAGCTGCTTAACTACGGGAAGTGGTACTTCAGTAGGGTAGCTGACTGAAACTATTAACAACACTGTAGATTCTCTTCTTTGTATGCCTATTAGCAGAGAATGGAAGAGGCAGAATTTTAATTAGCTTCAGCAATTCTGTGAAGAAAAGAAGTTCTTTGATCTTAAGTGAAAGACTGAAAAGAATGATCAAAATATGTAAATGTGGGCTTGACTTTGTAAAGAGAACTGTAAATTCAAAGCAGAATGTATCCTTAGGAAGGAAAGACATGCAGTATTGTCAAAAGAATCACAGAATCATTTTAGGTTAGAAAAGACCCATAAGATCATCAGGTCCAAGAACACTGAGACATAAAACACAGCTGTACAAGCAAACAATCATGCAATGAAATGTAATGAACAAAATAAGACAACAAATGTCTCTTAGACACCAAGATAACCAGATTCCAGAAAGTCCAGAGAGAAAAATCAGTTTGCCACAGTTGTCTATGGCAGTGTCATAAACTCCAACAAAATGAAACGTGAACAATGAGAAGAGATGAAAAAATCAACATTAACAAATATCTACGCACACCATTTATACAAAAAGGGAGGTATATTTTGAAACTTTTCAAAAGGACAACTGGCTTGGGTCCGTTCACTGCCCAACATGCAACAGAGTAAACCTAAACAATACTTGTTTAGCTAAGTGAGAAAGTATTACATTGGTTCACATAAATAATGGTTTATGTGAAATAATTGGTTCCATGAGATAATGATAAGACAGGGAAGGATATCAGTGAAGATTCTGATAGCCAATTTCAAACTTTAAATTTCATCTGTTACTCAATTCAGACTTGATAAACCAATGAACAAATTATTTTTCATCTACATGTTTAAAATAAAATTCAGGAGCTAACTCAGAAAAATGTTATAGTGTGCTGCAGAATATACCACATTTAAGACAGAATGAACTGCAAAGACCTTCAATAAATCAGAAAGATTTCTATTAGTTAATATGGGTGTCTTCAAAGTCAGTCCCTGCCTCTGTCAAGTCACCACAGGCCTCCTTCCTCCCTCCCTCCCAAGTCACATCTAGTGTAAATAGTTAATGGCATTCAGAATGCAGTACTGTGTAATTCATAACAAGTTAAACTAAATTATCATAGCTGTTAGCATAAGTTTGAGAATATTTGTTCTAGTATTAGGAAACAAATTCAGGCAAACTCCTTGTCTCAAACACAGGATAATGTTCAAGTCAACAGACAAGCAGACTGCACAACCACCCTGATACCCCACTTTTGATGGAGTAAGAGCTCTCGTTGGAAGGGTCTGGGAGTAGTCTAATATACCCCCTCTCATCTCTACTTCACATACTCATCATCAAAGCTATTTCTTGGACAAGTGTTTAAAAGTTTCATATCCAGGATGGATGAATCACAAGCCGTTGTTGTCTAATAACCAAAATGGCTGCTGAAGTTAAACACTTTATATAAGTTGCTTTTTCTGGATAGTTTTTCGAGTCACTTAGGGAAATAGTCAAGTGAACATATACTGTGTTGCTGTGTGCGTAGGTGTATTTTTAAGTTTAAACAGTGCATTTGTAGGAGTTACCCGAAATCATACTGCAGACATTGAAACCTTCCACACCCTGAAGAGGTGATCTGAGGAGCTAAAGATTCTCATTACCTTGAAGTACTTTCCAGTGTGCACAATCCTATTGCTACAGATAAAGGAAATAACAACAAAATGCACAGTGACATTAATAGAACTGTTTATGTATATGTAAATTAAACCCTGATTTAAAAATAAATTATGTATAAATATTGCCGTTGTCCTTGGGTGGGAGGGCATGGGGGACAGGAGAGGTTTCAGGGTAGGGGTTTACGAGGAACAAGTCATAAAAATCAAGTCTGTAAATACAGTTATTGGCTGATTAAACTATGCATATTTGGAGCCCTTTAAATTCAGCAGAAATACATTTGTGAACTCAATTTCCAAGCACTAAAGAAAATGTGAATTGTTTTGTTAAAGGATGTTACAGCACTAATGATAACAATGCTCATGGATTTTAGCAAGAGAATTAACAAGCCTACACTTATTACAAATCAATTTGAATCACCTGCAGTTGGATGTAAATTAGGGAAGCTAAACCAAAGTCTTATTTTGAGAAAATACTATGTGAAAATGTTTTGCAAATACTTTTCAAGGTTTTAATTGTCACTCAGTTTCTAAGAGTCAACTGTACAGTGAGAGCTGCTGAACAGCTGATATCTGCCTTTGTAAAAAAAAAAACCCAAATGATTGGAAGTAAGACCTTTACAGAAAAAAATGAATCAAGGCTAATGGACTGGAAGAGCATACCTCTCTGGGATTGCCTACCTACAGTGCAGTGCTAGCCAGTCTCTCACATTTGTGATTCAAAAAGGTCTACTTCCAGTATGCACAACTTTCAGAAACTGAGGGACTCAAAATTTTATTTAAAATATTTCCAAAATGTAATTATACAAAGCTTGCTTTTTGTTAACAAAATATTTTAGCTTTTATAAATTTTTTTTAATATTATATGGACACTTAGATCAACTTAAAAAAAAACCATGATGTAAATTCTTTTGTTACTTATCAATTTAAATGGCTGTTCTCAACTGTTTCATGCAGAAATGGTTCTAGAGACAACCAGAAATTATTTTTTGGCACAACAATATGAAACCCCAGGTTTATTTCCAAGCTTACACCTGTGCTGGAGTTATAAAAACCTGTGAATTTAATTGGATGCAGGTATGGAGAAGGTTTGGGGCATGGCACACTTCAATACTTCAAAATTATTTAAAGAGAGAATCGTGGCTATCATACGCAGTTCTCGAAGCTGGCCACTGTTTTTATGAAGCTGAAATATTTAGGACCACCTGCACACAATATCAACCACTTGATACAAATTTTAGATACAAATTATATTTGATACAAATATACATTATATTTGATATAAATTATAGAAATGTTAATTTTTCTTAATATTTTATTAGTGACATTAAGTTCTTCACATTAGCAAAATCTAGGGAAAAAGGCTGCAACTGATGTGAGCTGTACTTCATGATGATTCTAATTCTTGTTATTTGAATACAAAGTCAGAATAAGTTGCCATTTGTGGTGCTTTTACCAAAGTTTGATGCAGACAAATATTTTTCTATTACTGACAGATGTCCGCATAGTCGCTACATGGAAGACACAATATCTACAATGTACAAATGCAGTCTTCCCTAAGGAATCGCACAGAAACAACTCAACCCACACAGTGTTCTTCGTTATTGTTATTTATATATAAGGTTTCCTAAGCCTGCATTTACAAGGAAGCCTGCATTGAGAAAATTATTCATACTGAATCCAGTAGAATGTGATAAGAACATTACAGCACAGTAAACAAATTCAAGATCATTCACAGCAGTGCAGCTACTGTTTAAAAAAAAAAACAAAAACAAAAAAAAAACCAGAACAAAATGAACAAATATACTAAATTAAAAAAAATATTAATCACATAAAATGTCCATTGATACCATTAAATATGTGCTTTTAGTGTGTGACATACCTGAATTTGTAGATTACATTAGGAAAAAAAAACCTGTTATTTTCAATTACTATAGCATTTTTTTAAGGAATAAATAGTGCAGTTATTTCTCAAATGTTTTGCACCTTAAATATCTGTATATCCACATGAATAGTGGTTGCAAACTACTCATAATAAAATAAAATACTCTCAGCTACAGAAAAAATCCATAGATCATATAAAGTTTTTGATAAATTTAGTTGGGCAAATAGCAAATATTTGTCTTGTTTGGAAATTGTATTGCTGTGATTAATAAAACTAAAAGTGGGAAAGTCTGGCTTTGAAACACAGCATTTTCTTCCTTGATGCTTGATCAAAAGGCAGTACAGATTTATGATGTGCTAATCTGCAGGCTAGGTTATCTTTTAGTTGGGTTATGAGGATATTCTGATACGGTATCTCAGTGCTTTGGTAGTTTTATATCTTATATTGCTCTGATAACAGTGTTCCATGCTATCAAAAGGATTCCAATGAGATTCATTAAGCACAAATGATTCTGTAAATGTTGAGTGATAGCCACAATTAAATCCATGCTTAAATCAATGAAATAAGGTGCTATACTTGTATTATAGGAGTAATTACGATTCTATGATTCTATGAAAAGGTAAGTTTTATTACCTGGATTATAAATGGGTACACCTAAAGAATGGTTCTTTGCAGATTTATGCAACATGACAGTTTCATATCCATGGATAGGAGAGGAGCTTAGTAAAAGGATAACATTTTCTTCTGAAGGAAATGTAGTTTGTGTGCTTGTTTGAACCTCATTCTCTATCAATTTTAACTATTCTTTGTTTTTGTTTTTTGTTTTGCTGAAGTAAAAGTGTAACTTTCTTTGTTACTGGTTACTACCCAGTTGTCCAAACTTGCAATCTATTAAATCAAAAGATTATTTAGTTAACAATGACAAAGCAATTTAGTAGATTTAGGTGATATAATCCAAATATTTGTATCAAGTACAGAAGAAGCAAATATTTTAGAAGAAATAAAAAGGCAAATTTCAATGCAACCACTCAGATACCAAGCCTCTTTGACTGGAGACAACACGCTTTTGAGAATTTGAGATGAAAGTTATTTCTTGACTGAGGAAGTAAGTACTCATGTATTCACATCTTAAGTCCACAGATGCTTTGAGATATGGATTCATTTGGACTAATGCCTTTATTTAAACTGGATAAATAAAATGGCTGGATTTGTTAAGGACTCAACACTCGGGGAACTTCAGAGATGAAATTCTTCACAGCTATTATTTCATCTGGCACTGAACTCTAGTTCTAGCTATTTATATAAAATAAAGATGACTGTGAAAACTTATAGGTATCTTAGAGACATTTTATAAACATATTGGTAACATTCCTCAGAAAATAAACATTAGCAACATTATCACTGTATATGTTACTAGTAGTTCACATCATTTTAAAAAAAATTAAGACAGAAGCAGAATGTAAAATTAAAGGAACATCAGGGGTACCCGTCATTTCACATTTTTAAACAAAGGTGATTTATGGAATTATACAATCACAGAATCATTAGAGTTGGAAGGGACTTCTGAAGGCCACCTAATCTAGCTACCCTGCAATGAACAAGAACATCCAGAGGTAGATCAGTTGTCCAGGGCCTTATCCAGCCTCACCTTGAAAGTCTCCTGGGATGGGGCATCTACCACATCCCGAGGCTACCTGTTCCAGTGCCTCACCACCCTCACTGTAAAATATTTTTTCCTTACATTTAACCTAAATCTACCCTCTTTAAGCTTGAGCTTTTTACCATAACGAATTGTAACTTCAACATTTTAAAAATTATAATATAAAAAATGAGGATACCTAGAGAATAAGTGTTCATGTTAGAACACTGGAAATGTGTTTCCTTAAGAAGCAGAAATCAATTATTTAATCTTACCAATGATAGGAACTAAACCAAAACTTTTTCTATGTCAACCGTCATTCCTAAGTATAGATTGACAATAATAAACTCTTTACAATGCCAAAAAAGGAAAATATTTTTAAAATCATTATACTCAAACTATCTCTCATGCACAATATAACTTATTTGACAAAAAATTCTGCGTTAGTCAGTGAGAACTCACAGTTAAAAAAAACAAAACTCTAACTCTCACCTCATGAAGCAGTATGTATTCAAACAGCACTGAAGAATGACATACTTACGCAATTGGTTTTTCCAGTCTGCTCCCCTGTGATCCAACTATTTCTCCAAGCGTACAGAACATTTGTCCCAAAAAATCCTGAAAAGCAGTATCAAGAGAACTCAGAAACTGTGCTTTCTACAGGGAAAAACAAAAGGTTTTCCATCAATTTAGGCGTTTCTTTAGAGTAAAACACATTCTACTGAATACCGTGTCCAAATAGTAATTATGCCATTATACTGTTCTTACGTTGCCTTTGTCATCAACAAAAATGAAACAGAGATGGAAAAAATTAAACTTCCCTCTTCAAAGAAGGTTTTAAGAATCTGAAGAACCTTCAAAGACATTATAAAGCTTTCCTCACTAAACTGGAGCATTTTAATAGATTGCTCTTCTATGAAGGACTGTACAAAGAGTCCACCAATTTCTTGAAAGTTAATTATGTTGGAAGGAGCTCAAGCCTGCACAGGATCTTTATGAGAATTCTGGATTGACAATCCAGGATTTCTTTAATGCAGACATTATTTTTTATTTTTATAATTTTACTGTATCAAGTAAATTTCATATTCCATCTCCTTTTTACATAAGCAGCAGCTTAATATGAAGGGATTTTCAAAGTGTTGAAATGGATATTGAAAAAAAAAATTATGCTGCTGTTCAACTCCTGAAAAGGTATACACGTGTGCTTAAATGTGCCCTTTATAGTAATATATCCCATTGAAGTTATACTCATGAGCATTATTCTTGTTATTAACAACAGTACAAGCTCTGTAATTCTCTCTAAGCATCTGGTATTAATTACATTCAAAAGTAAATAAATTAAGAAAACTAAAGCATTTCAGCAGAAGATATTGTAATAACCAGGAAAAAAACTTACATGTTTTGACAGATTAGGGCTCTTGGAGTCAACATCATAGCTTTAAAAACAAAAAAGAAAGTTATATCCAACTTGCCAGATGACAGATCTGAGGACAATGTGAAAAAATGAAAATCAAACAATTCCTTCAGCTATTTCAGTGTGAAATTTGCACAAAAAGATACATGAATGGAAGTCTCACCAGTAAGAAAGGCAAATCAAATCATTACAGATTACAAGACTACTGTTCACTAGCTATCTAAAATAAAATGGTTTTCAGATTACAGGTTAATAAGAGAAATTATTCTAATACTCCTGTTCGAACAATGGAAGCTAGAAAAAAAATCAGAACAAAATTTCAAAATTAATCATTTTAACAGAAATCAAACTACATTGTGAATTACTTTCTTAGTCAAATGAATTGGAAAGCTACCTAACTAAATAAAAATAACTGACAATAAATCAAATTGCTTTTAGCAAGCGTTTGACTTGTTCTTTTCAGCTTTTTATCATAATCTTCTTCCTCCAGCTAGAAAATGTCACTGTCTTCTTTTCATTATCATGTCAGATTTTTTTTTAAATTACACAGTGAATTCAAGAAAAATTTTAAAATATTTAATACAGTAAGTGCTTTTGGGAATACCACTCTTTATACTAGCAGTCTTCCCTCATTGTCAGATAATCCCCGGTAATATTTTTACCATTTGACTCAGTAATAGAATTGAAAGAGTACTCTCAGTCCTCTCTGCATGTTTCGATTCCCACACTGTGGTACACCAGCCATTTGGGCTGCCATAACTGCCTGTTGGGATGCACTGTGGAACAGATCAGAAATTAGGAGGATGGGAAGCTGGATGTGGTGCAGTACAGCCATTTTCACAAACGTATTTGTAAAAAGAAGAAAAACAATAGAAAGAACGACTACAGGAATCACTAACTGTTGGTTTCTAAAAAATAGTAACTGCACATTGTCTGGTGAAAGTGAGCAGAAACAAACCAAACCAAAAAACAAACAAACAAACAAACCAAAAACCAACTGATAGCTTGACCTCAGGGCTAGCTATGCTACTGGAACCAAAAAAAATACTTCACTGGCAAAACTAGTAACAAACCATCAAATAGCAATGCAAAGAAGTCTGAGGCATCGGTCCTATATGATGTACACAGGGGCTCATGCTCATTTATCAGTACCCTCATAAGAACAGGAATCAGAGATATGCCTCCCTTTTTTTTTTTTGCTGCCAGAAACTGAAATCTATCAGGCCTTTCTCTCTTTGAAAAATAACGTTTTGGCCAACTGTAGTACACAATTTTACTGAGGAATTTAAAAAATAAGCCTTCCAAAGATGCTTCTTTCTTGACCTATATTGAAGTTCTAATCCATCAACAGCTATGAGTCACATTTTTAACTAAAGTAATTCATTTCCAGTCAGTTATAGGACTTTGAAGTGTAATCACAGGCTGGCTATACAATAAGGCAAGAATTAAAAAACATTACTTGGCTTTGAGATCAGACTTGTGCCTGTCAACAGTAGAAAGCAGGCAGGCCTTTCTTTTAAGTGCAGAATATGATGTTTGCAGCTTTTTGTAAATAAAAAATCAGAAGTCCACTTCTGAGTACACGAACAATCAAATAGATTAACTTTGCCCTGTAAGCTCCAACTACTTCTCAGACTACTACTACCTATCTAGAAGTTCTTCACAGACTTCTCTTTGCTTCGATTGAGTCAAACATTCTTATCCTGAGTTCATTTCTTTTGCTCTTCTATTGAACTTTCTCCTCCCATAACACACATGCAGCCTACAAGGAACAACGGATAGCCAAATCAGTACTCCTATACCACCCTAGCTTATTTCTCTCTTATTTCCAAAATGCTTCATCTGATCCTGGAAAGGAAACCTCTATTTCACAGTGACTAACACATACTAAAAGAAAACTTAAGCAGCAGGAAACAGTTAACTCAGCAGATTTAATTATACTGCATCCCAATTCTAGAAGAAAAAAAAAAAAGGGAAAAAAAACCTCAACACCAGGTTTTCACAGTGAAGATGGAAACAACTGCATCTGGCCACCTAGAAGCATCCTGCAATCTATCTTGGCATTCATTTAACTCCTTCAACAGTTGAAGTCTAGATGGAAACAGTTAGCTGCTACCTGTGCATTGGATATAGTAGTACTTGTAGAAACAAGTCTAAAAAGACTAAAAAGCTAAAGACTAAAAGCTAAAAACAATTAGACATGATTATTTTATTTGCTTGTTTCCATGACATAGGAGATACTGCTATTCGAGAGCATTTCAATACGCTCTGCTAGCAACTTAAAACAAAATCAGTACAAAAGAAAAAACACATGTAAGTTTATTAATACTACTAACATACACATCTAGCACCATATATATTTTCCATTACTACAGGAAAAATTCACACTAATGCTCTATGTACTTCATGCCCTGATGAATATACAGATTGATTTGCATTCCAGAACTCCAAAAAATAAAAATTAAGAGATTGTAAAATCTGCTTTGAAGCAGCTACTTAGATACAAAGACAGCAGATGAAGGCTAAAGAGTATAATATTTAAAAATGGCTTTACAACAGACTTCCTGGGAGATTTTAGGAAAATAAAGAAGTGCTTATTCCTCTGCTTTGCTGTCTACAAGACAGAAATGTTCTAAAAGCAAACTACTTAATCAATATTATGAAAGCAATGACTGTATGACTACATTTTGATTAGTTAGAACTTACCAATTTCTGAAAACTCAGTCGTTGTTACATATTTATTTCTGAAGAAGAAATGCTAAATCGTGTTTATTTGTTCAATGTCAAGAGGCACTATTTATTTTCAAGTTAATTTTGTGCTTTACAAAACTCAGTATGTCTACAGAGATTGTACTATTAGAATTGAAGACTGTTAACTTACAAATCAAATCGCAGATTCTCTCTTTCTTCAAAAAAGTAGTCCATTATAAATTTTCTTACAAAATCTGGATTTAAAGTATTGTCAATTACTTCTGTTCTTCCAAACTGGAAAAGAAAAGTATCAGTTTAAGGCAAGTAATTTAAGATGCTGCAGTTAAGAAGATTTCCACAACTGCACTATGATGTGAAAAAGCATATAATTTTTTTTCTTAAAAAGATGTCAACAAAGAAAACGATTCTGTTCACGTGAAAGGACCAGTCATCCATAGATGAAGACAGGCTGGCAGAAGAACTCATAGATCACCATGAAGGGTGGTGCATGCCCTGTGTCATACGGTAAAAAAATTATAAATGCTATTACAAAACTATATAAGCTCCTAAAGTGAATTAGAATCCACAAAAATTTGAGGAAGAAATTCAATAGCACAAAAACCCACTTTTCCTTCATGAAAGACAATAGCAAACAAAAGCTTACACAGACTGCTTATTTCGGGTAGATTTAAATATCAGAAAACATAGTTCTTCTGCTAGAAGCATACCATTTTTGCACTATCCTACTCCTATTTCACCTTTGTTCAGCTCTCTTTTTACATCTAATCTCTGAGCCTTTTCCAAAATGCCTTTTTTCCCCTTGGTGTTTACACCGAGCTCTTGATGAGCTGAAAATATTTTAGATAAAGAAGATAACTTTTGATTGACTTCAGTTCTTCATAAGCATCACAAATACAAATAACTGATTATAAAACTACAGTTCTGTGTTGTAACTGTTCTTGTATTTCTGTATTTTTGAAACAGATAGCAAAGCAAAAAAGAGTAAATTAATGACATGATCATTTCATTTTGTCCTCCATATTGAATATATCAAGACATTCTAATAGAGCCTACTGAAAAGGTCACTGACACTTTCCTGAAAGATCATCATTAGCAACTTCTCAAAACTGCAGTCTGTGACTCCAGTCTTCCAGCGAGTCAAAGACTGCCAATTGCTTAACAGACAGGACTGAATTAAACCCAAAAACGCAGACAAGGAAATAACAGGACATTTGTTTTCTTCTGAGTTTTTTGAGAATTTGTTTTGAAGTTTCCATATCACAGGTGTGGATGCAGCCACCACACAGAGCCCAATTTTCCTGCTGGAGCTCTGAATATTTAAATTAACATCTACACGGTATGAAAGGACAAGAGCATACTCCGCTGTTGCTTCCTCTCAAAACTCAGGAATTTCCGTTCTTTACTCGATTCTCATTAAAACAAAACAGTAAAGAACTCCAGACACATTATTTCTGTGATTTAAATAAATTCAATTACTTTCAGCAACTATTTTTTCTCCTAAAATACCGGAATATCTTCCAACACCACTCATTCACACTGGCCATCTAGAGAAGTGAGCCTGTATCCAAGAGCATGACTGCTTTGTGAAAAGCAATCACCCACCTCAGGTATAATGAAATATTCAACAGAAACTGACACATCTTCAAGACATAATATTATAAAGTCTCAAAAACAGGAACAACCCTCAGAAGTGGCACGGTGGTGATTTGCATCTTTAAATAGCACGTTCAAATTCTATTAGGTAAGTTCACTTTGTTATCCTGTGAGATGTTCAATCATGACAGTGCTATTCAGAGAGATTTATATTCCAGCATCTCCCATGAAAGACAAAGATGCAAGACTATCTTTACAACAAGGAAGACCCTCTCAAAATTAAAAGATGAAGAAAATTTAACACATAGTGTCAATTAGCATATTGCTCTGCCAAACCTTTACCTCAGTTCTTAAAAGACAGGCAAAATGATTTCCTGATCTCACTGCAAACTTGAGACCCCCTGTAAAAAGGCTTCTAAGCATGTCCTTGAGCACCAACTGTTTAGAAAGCAGGATCAAGAGCAAACACTGTATTTCTTCAACTCTCCTAAGTCAAAGCAATTGTTATGAAAGGGGTAAGGCACTGTTTGGAAACTTGTCAAAGAAATCTCCAGAGCGCTAAAGATACGGGATATTCAACTGGAACACACCAAATCTCTTAAGAAAGGATTGGCACAGGATCCTGGAAGCAGATCAGAACAAGAACAAATATTTTCATACAGTTTGCTTCAAAGGAAAAAAGTCAGTCTCTTGAGAAGACTGGAGGTATTCTTAGAAATATTTGAATAAAGTTGACAGGTAGAGTGCTGTAAAAAACACTTTTGAATCAGCACTGGTCACTGTTACGGCTAAGTATCAATGAATGAGAAATGAAAGTAGCACTAGAAAGTTGGCACTTCTATGCGAACAAGTATGAGTGGGGTACACGTTCGGGCTTAAGTCCTCTTTGCTTCTAATTTGCACGTGAGCTGAAGTTTCTCATCAGTTTTGAGGTGAAATAAATCTCAATGTTTATACAGAAAATTGTCCCCTGTCAACTACACATATTAGAGCACTGAACAGTACTGGAGGTCAGGAAAAACTAGAAGCTAGAATGGCTCACTAAATGAAATATGCAGCAATATCTATGCAATTGGTACTGTCTGAAGGTATGCGCTAAGAAGCTAGTCTGACACAAGTTTCAAAGCAGGAATGAGAAATGAAATCAATGGAGCACGAGGACCATCATTTTTTCTGTTCTGAGCAGGAGTATATCTCATCTGAGGAGTGTTTTTTCCATCTCAAGTTTCCTACTTCTTGCATTTGCACTTTCAAGCAAGCTAGCCAAATACTCTCTAAAACCGGAATTGGCTGCACGCAGAAGAAGCTTATACATAAAATGAAACCTGATGAACGCTGGTTTACTCAAGACAGAAAGGACTCTGGGCATTCAAGAAAATGTGTACCAGGTCCTAGGATGACTGTTGTAACTCGCAAAGCTACCTGAGGCACACCAGGTAAATTAATAAAACTTAGTTGTGGTTCTCTCTCACACTACATCCAACAGATTCAGATGCACATACGCAAAAACATCAATGAAAATATTTCCCAGTATGTGTGGATTTAAGTAGTAAATTCTCCTAGAAGACTCCTTAATCACCATGCAGGAAAAGAAAGGTTGTATATTCATAAACTGATCATGCCTCTTGATTGATGACAGACATGGAACATCAACTACTTCTGTAGGAAGCCCATTTCAGTGTTTGCCACAGTAAAATTTTCTCAAAATTTCTCCTCCTCATAAGTTCTAGAAAATAACAAGGTTACCTCTTAGCTTTTTTTTCTCCAGACTTGACAATCCAAGCATCCTTAGCCTCTCCTCATAGGACATGCCTTCCAATCCTTTTACCAACTTTGTTGCTTTCAAGGAACAAAGGAACATCCTTTTTTTCAGTGTGGAGCTCAGAACTGTACAGAATATCAAAGGTGAGGGCACACCAATGGCTAAATATAGTGTCGTCAGGCAGCATCACCTGTTTTGACTGGCTGTCTACGCTATGTTTAACGCACCCCAGAAGACACTGAGTTGCTTGAGTGTGCGCAGAGAAGAGCAACAAAGCTGGTGAACAACTAGAAAACAAGAGATATGAGCAGCAATTGACAGAACTGGGGTTGCTTAGTCTCTACAACCATTGCAGTGGGGAGGATGTCAGCCTCTTTTTTTAGGTGGCAAATAATAGGAGGATACAGTCATTAGTTGCTCCAGGGGAAGTCTAGTTCGGACATTAGGAAGGAGAAGGCAGTGAAGCAACAGAGCAGCCTGCCCTGGAAGTAGTGAAGTCCCCATCCTTGGTGGCATTTAAGATATACATGGATGCAGAACTAAGAGACATGGCTTAAATGACAGTACTCAGTCGGCTACGTCAACAGTTGAACTTAATGATCTTGAAGGTCTTTTCCAACCTAAATGATTCTAACCTAAATGAAGAATGTGACTGTGGCTCTGAAAGAAGAGTACTATAAGGAGAAACAGATGTGCCAAAGATTGGATGGATAGCTGGAGAAGGTCCTGAAAACAAAACTGGCAATCACAATAAGGTCAAAAAAGCCCTCTCTCTCATTACATTGATCCAGACTTCCTAAAATAATGAAATTAAGACAGAGCTCACTCTTGAGCAAATTGTTCTTGTTGGAGTAGGAAGCAAACAATTCTTTATTTGATGAACCCAATAAAAAATTGCTCTCAAGAATTTCAGAATATGTCATTCACTAGAAGGATAGTAAATGGACTCATAGAATAAAAGAATTGAGAAAGATGTGTTAAAATGCATGACTTTCACTATCTGTAGACAGACTGTCCATTCTGAACATTCAATTCTCAAACACAGGGCTGTTCTTCACTGAAGAGTTCAATTCTCAAGCATATTCCACATTGCTCCAAGGTTCGAGATGCTACTTTGAAGACCTGAGTTTCACTCATCAAGAAATTGCATACACTGTTCTCATAATGCTTGTTAAACACATAAGAGAGATGAACCCCTGTACCTCAGGCTTTAATGCAAAGCTCTGCTAGGTAGTCTCCCACTCACTGGATGCTAAGAAAACTTATCAGCAAGCTAGAACGCAACAAATAAGGAAAAGCTGATGGAGCTTGGTTTGTTCAGTTTGGAGAGGAGAAGGGTTAGAGAACATCTATTGTCACTGCCATCCTCTAGTATACCTAAGAAATACAAAGAATACAAAGCCAGACAGTTCAAAGAACGTAACAAAAAGACAGGACACTTCTATCAGAAATGAAACCAAAGAAAATTATGATGGGACATAGTGAAACAAGTCTCCAAAATGAGTGATTAAGCTCTGGAATAGGTCACCCAGAGACTTGTGCAGTCTCTGCCACTTAAGTTTTTCAAACATGATTTGGGAAAGGCCCTGAGCAACCTGACATAATCATGAAGATGGCTTTCCTCCTTGAATCAGGAGGCTGAATTGAACATAGCTGATGAGTTGGAGGCAGAATAACACAAAGATTCTTTTCACCTAAATTATTTAATGACCATGTCATATTTCATATATCAGGTTGTTAAGTTTTATAGTTCCATTAGAAATAGCTCTATGTATGAATCTGAAAGAAAAGTTACTTAAAAAGGAAAAATAGTTGTTACTTATAAAACGGTAATGTCAGTTAATTTTTAAAAACAAGAGAATATAATAAATATATGCATAGTTTCGGTCCCTTCAAATTTGATTTTTTTTTTTTTCCTTCTAGAAAACAATATTCCATTTAAACCAATATCCACGTTACATCTGGGAAATGTTTTGGACTTGATTTGAGAGCCAAGACAGAAGCCTATCAGGAAAAGAGGAAAAAAGATAAATATGCAGCATGCTGCTGATTAGATCACTGAGAAGAGAGGAGGCCTGACAATGTGTGTTACGCTGCTACCTTTACAGTGAAATTCTTTACAATACTCAGAAGACTGAATTCAGTACCACAGCTAGCTTGTCTTTAACTTTAAATTACTTTTCTTATATGAGGCTTCAGTTTTTCAACTGCTTGTTTTTCACAGGCTACTTAAACAGTTCTGTTACATTAAACTAATATAATTAATTACTTGTAGGATGAATATTAAAATTTATCTTGTAGATGACATTAAAATACTGGCCTCTAAAAACCATCAGGCTATATTTTTAATAAGATAAAGAAAGCATCATCTTTTTAAATCTCTTTTCCAAATCAACAATGGCTTTTTAAAGTAGAATAGGTTATTTCTATAATCCAGTGTCTTACAACTAGTAGCATAGCAGTTAATTAATTAATTCCCTTCATGGCCTAATTTGCCCACTGACAGTTGTGCAGAGCTAAAATCTTAACATAGCCAACAAGCAAATACCTTTAGAAATGTCATTCAGGAGAGAAAGAAAATCCATTTAACTAATTAAATGGGGGAAAAAAAAATGGAAAAAAAAATCCAAAAAAGCATTCATTTTTCATATTTCCTAAGATGAAGATACTTTGCTACCTCCTAATGCAAGTTCTCCTGGTAGAAAGGAATTTTATTTATTTATTTTATCATCTTAATTTTTTTACCATCTCAATTTAGTGATCCATCCCAAAAAGCTTTGAGGTTGATGGAAAACCATAAGCTTCATTTTGATATCAAAATATTATAGAACACTAGTGGGTTAGTTAAAACTATTTAGTTTTATAGTTATACTTGTCTATTGTCTATTCTGTATTTCTCAATCAGAAGATATAAAGGAACTACAATGACCTAAAAAAAATTAATAATTAATAATAGTAATAATAATAATCCCAATAAATGTTGATTATAAAGCATCTAGTCCATTCTTCCCATTAAGACAGCCTCTAAACTCTACTAATGGAAAACTCGAAAGTGTATCTTATGGAGGTGAAAACAGTAACGAAATTGTAGATGCTACAGTGAAATACATAATTACTAAACATATCACTAAGTGCCCACTTTGAGCACAATCAAATAGATCACATAAAATCTTGCGGTCATAGGGGGAATATATGCATCTTAAAGATCAATTTATTAATGTAATATTTAATTATCATTTACTAATAAATAATTGTTTATGTTATTACAATAAATACTGAGTTGTAACTATACAGGAAAGAAAACCTAATTTTCTGGATGAAAACCTCTTGCGAGGTCCCAACAAGTTCCTGTGACTGACTGATGCATGCAGCACCTGCTGAAATGATCTAGAACAAGGACTGAAATAATTAAGGGCCAAAACAAATAGATTTTTACAGAACTGCACCTTACCATCAGTGGGTATTACCTGTAAAATTCCCACTGCTAAAATATTTCACCAATTTCTATTATTTACTTAACATTTAACTTTAAACTGCTCTGTTTTTCACAATTAACATCCTCTTTGAAGTGAAGAAATTCACATTCTTTCTAAATATTATTTAAGCCTTCTACAGACAGCAGTAAGTTATACTTTGTCATATTTTGAATGTGTCCTCACAAAGTAAGGCAAAGTGAGTGTTTTTAAATCCAAATATTAGATTCTGATGATACATTTGTTGCTAATTCTATTACTGGAAATACCTGATGATCACACTGCAAATAACAGAAAAACTGTTTTGAAAAATAACAGCCTATGAAGTTAAGAACTAAACATTTTAATTGTTTGCCAAGGATTCGGTGTACAAGAGTAACATCAAGTAAAACACTGGAATCTGTACCATAAGCAAACAGGAGTCAATGCCCAGAAAATATCTAGTCAGAAATTAAATTGAGAACTTCATTTAACTACTCTACTGAATCACTTCAGATATCCTAGCTGAGGGGTGGAAAAAAGCACATTGGTAGAATAGAGCACTAGGGAAATTATGGAGATTACAAAATGATTTAGTAAGTTTATGATCCCCAGGCATCTTCTGCAGTCTTTGAAAGAAAATCATTAGGCAAAAGAAGCAAGATAACTTCAATAAAGGAATAAAGAATAGAGAAAAAGTAAAGAATGCTGACATGACTGAACACCATTCTTTAATGTCCACAAATATCATCAGGGTGTTATTATTTGTCTTGTAGTTTTCTCCATACATTTCCAGGTGGTTTCCACCTCCATGAGCTAATGAAACTCTAAACAAGTGTTTTAATGCAACAATATGACACATAAACAGACACTGAAATCACAGCATTACTGCATTCACCACAGCAGACAGAAAAAGCACAGAAATAAAGATATGCGATAATCCATCCAATGTACATTATCAACTAACTTTCTACCTACTGCTATATATATATTTTACCACTGGTATAAATGTCATATACATCGTAACAAATGCATATCAAAATGCAATCCTGACTCAGTCCTTCTATTGTGACAACCTCTGAATTTTGACTGTCATAACAGCTACTTGGAACAGGATTCTATTCACTGAACTTTGCATCCAAAGTAGAAGAAGTGTTGGCTTTTGATTATCACTTGGAGGCATTTTGAAAGAATGATTCATCTAATCTACTGTGGACATCTAAATTAGACACAATTAACTGCCCTAAGGAAGTTATCTTCTTTCACTAACTATAAATAGTTTAAACAGTCGAAGGACTTGTAAATATCTATACCTGGATGATAGACAAGATAATTATGTTTTAAGAGTGGAAAAAAAAGGTAAGATTTTCTATCAACTGTCTTGTTGAAAGTCTGTTTTAAACGGTGCAATTCCTAAACTGGCACATGATACCATAACCACATGCACTCTCTCGTCACTGAGAAGATGCAATACAAGCACACTATCCTATTTTGCTTTGATTAGGAAAATAAAATTGCATAAAACAATACAGAGCTGTGAGGTGGTAGCATACTTCAAGCATTACAAACTTGGATCTATTAAAAAGGAAAGCAGATGGAATTTTTTTGAAGTAAGGTGATAATGCCATAATTTGACTGTCAGGACAATTACAGTTAGTAAAATGATTAATACCTATTAAACATTAAAAAAATTAACAGTTAACAACAGAAAAGAATGAAAATTCCACAGAATCATATATCAACCTTAGACAACAACAAAAAAAGAATTTCTCACAGCTAAATCCTAGACCAAGGAACTACCTGGATAACCTAATGACTTCACCACTGCACTGAGCTGCTTATCGGCACTCGAATGCCTAAAGGCTCCTCCGTTTCCAGTGTTAGCTATCCAGACATACAGAACTCTGCACATCCATTACTTCTGACAATTTAGTTAAGATTAGAGAGTTCTCACTTAGGTCCTCAGTCTGACATTTCTTTACAGAAATCACGAGAGGAATGTGATCCTGTAGGCATACTGAAAGCATGTCGGGTACACAGTACAGGACTAGAGAGAGCAGTAAGTTAACTACAAACGATGAGCTTTTGTCTAAGGCAAGAGAAAAATCCAGTTCTGTAAGGCTGACAGAATAGAAATCCACATCCACCCAGTTTCATTAAAAACTATCTTTCTCCAAACAACTACCACGAATGCCAAAAATAAGGGAAGAGGTTTGATTTCTGTTACCCTGGCCACTTCAGACAGTAGAAAACATTAAAAATATCAGTTCTGAAAACAAGAATATCACAGCTGCTCCTTTTTACAGTGAGCAATAGCAAGACAGTTCATTCCTCTCATGGCTCTTTAAGTAACCATCAATCCTCACAGTAAGGCAGCTAAAAAGCACGTTCCATGAGGAGAAGGGAAAGATGACCACCCTTCCTCCAACACTTTCACTTCTTTCAAAGAATAACATTAAAGGAAAAAGAATTTGATAACTACGTACAAGGAGACAGTTATAGGATGTATATGTCACTCTTTCTCCCTTTTTGCCTGATGAACATGTTTTCAGCAGGACCTTCTTCTCTCAAACACTGTACCAACACTATGCTACCACACCTGTAGGTTACTTTTGCTGATCCTAGGCATCACGACGACTATATCATTCCATAGATCTTGTACTGCTTGAGTTTCCTCCTCTCTCGTATTCACAAACCTTGTTCCAATTGATAATTTGACTTCACATATCTCACAAAAAGTATGAAACAGGAGAATTACATATTTTATTTTACTTCCCCTTTTGATGAAAAAAAATGGGATACAGATACGGAAACTGAGAATAATGTGACTAGGTACTCCCCACTGGGATGTAGGGCTCCTACCGTTTAGCATGGCAATCAAGAGGCTATGACATTCCTTCTTCAGTGCAAATGGCAAGTATTTAATGTACTAAAAAAGTTTATACACACACGTGTGTGTATATATATCTTACCTCTCTCCATTCTTTGTTTCCAATGGCTTGTGTGTACAAAACACAGACTGTGAAAGGAAAAAAGAAAAGATCATTTTGAGAATTGAATGTTGTTTTTTTTTAATTAAATAAGTTGATTTCGTAGTCAATTTTGCTGTCAAAACCACTACCTTGGAAAATCAAATATTAGTGTTTCCCCTCAGCTTTGAGTATGTCTCCCTAAATTAGTGACAATACTGGTTGTTGCCACAATGAATTGTGAAACAGAGTGGTTCTAAAATGGGAGGTGACACTTAAGACTGGCCTCCAGCAAATCACCTAAAATCCTTAGGAATAAAATTAGATAGAAGCAGGTTTTCATTAAATGTGCATGGTCTGTCTATCCAGGCTAATCCAGTGCATAATTATGCTAATTTATTTCTTCTTTCAGGAAATGAGAGAATTAAAATAAAAACAAATGAGGTCCCTACTGCAATGAGACAGGAAATAAAAGTGGAAAAAGGAAAAAATAGTTTGTGAAGTATTCTTTAATTCTGCTGTAAGCTCTTCTCACATATTTAAGGATACTGCATACATATCTCTTTATATTAAAACATAATAAAAACTGAATCAATTACATCTACCTATGTAAGCTATGTTTGAAACATCAAGAAGCATCATCTCACCAGTTTCACTCTGCTTACAGATTTGTTCTTCTAATACAGAACCCACTTCACATTAATCTGTAGCTTTCATCACAGAGGTACAGTTAATCAGGTCTTCCATACACCAAGTACAAGTATAAGCACAAATCATTTGCACCGAATGAATACCGCAAACTTCATTTTCAACAGTTTTGAATGAGTTGTATCTAACAAGTGTAAAGCAGTGATATCCTGAAACTCTCACCGTTTCCTAAATAAGGAAAATACAGATACACAAACATTTCGCTCTGTCAAATTCTGCTGTGCCAATCATTACTTTTCAACAGAAGACAGAAATAATATTATTTTGAGTTTCTGTCTTGAACAATAAAAGTAGAAGGCTGGTTTTCTTCTCAACAAAGTCAGAATCATCAACTGATCTAAGCAGAAATGAAGTCAAGCTTCAAACTATGTTTTCTTCTTACTTGGAAGGTAAAACACAACACACCAGGAAGAGTGGAAAAAAAGTAAGATCAACATTTCAGCTTGACACAGAACTTAAAAGTTAACACAATTCAACTTCATTTTTTTCCCAATAAGATATCTTGTAGAAGAAAAAGCTTTTATAAAAAAAAATCAAAATCAATTTCTGTTTTTCTCCATTCACTCTAAATGAAACCTCGGACAATCACACTACTGGCTTTGGTTCCTGATTATAGTAGGATGAATCCAAAGCAGTGAGTCTATTTTTACAGCTCTCTTTGGAGAAAATTGCTGAACTATATTATATAAAGAATGAAGTTTAAACAGGAAAACAGAGTGAAATGGAAGCTACAAAATCAGCTACGGAGATGTCTGAAAGTTACTAAATTTCTGACCAACCTTTGTATCTATTAAGATCTGTGCCAAGATAATCCTGGCAGATGTGGGAAATGTTGTCAAAGGAAATTTCGACATATAAAAACAAACTAAGAAATATTCTCTGGAAATACTCCTAGTGCTAACATGAAATCATACACTCTCCCAAATTTGCCTTCCACTTTCCCCACTGGCAATTCTTTTTTAAACGAACACCACAAATTCAGCAATGATGAATATTTTCTATCTTCAGTAGTGGTTTCCAAGAAAGCAAATATGTTACTAATTTCAAAAGCAGATATAATAACAGATTTCATCCATTTTACAGAGATCTTAAATCTAAATTTTCCACTAAATATTTCTCATACCTATAACCTCACTTGAGAATACAACTGAAACTCATTTGCAGAAAACGCCAGTCTTTATAGATAACGTACACTTCTGCTATTCAAATATTTTTATTGTCTAGATTTTTCCTAAACATAATAATTTTTCACCATTGATTTCCTGCTCTATTTTTTGTACTACATGCTGCCCTGTGTATTAGCATTAATACACTAAATCACATAACAATTTTGCACCATAGCTGTCCAAAAAAGAATATAAAAGAGGAGAAATTTAATATTAAGGAGAAGAAAGCAACAAAACAACTGTAAAATATCCGTTACTATCAAAGTTTCAGAAAAGAGGCATTCTGGCACAATCTTATCTCTTCAGTTTATGAAGCCAAATGAAAGAGTTATGAACAAAAAATCTAAAAAAAGATTAGAGCTGAATAATTTTAGTCTTCTGCTGTGGTTGATGAGATGGAAGTTGTGCAGTATAAAAAAAAAAAAAAAACAGTAAAGCTCCACCTTAAGCCTAATTCAGTCTCTTATTCATTTTCCATCTTCTGGAAGGCTGCTCATACCTCTGCTAGTATGAGTTTTTCTGTGGTCAGTTCACTATAATTTGTAGTAAGCAATGCTATCCTTCTCACCTTTTTACTGCCAGTCATTAGTGGGTTTCTGTTCCCCTCCATTCCCAGTAGCTTCCCCGTGCTTCCAAAAGTACATTCCAGGACTGGAACCACATCTCTAGCCTAAGAACCACTTATATACTTATTTATAAACTTAAATGAGGAGAAAAAAAGCTAAGAATCAATAGTATGACTTGCAATTTTCTGCTATTTAGCTGGTTGCAGCTATGGCATATATGAGGGCTGCTCCGAAAGTAATGTCTCTTATTTTATTACACTGGCCTACGACGTCAGAGGTGGATGTTGGTGGTATGGCAGTGGAGGCTGAGCCTTCCGCCCAATATTCCATTACATTCTGTTGCTGTCAACAAAGGGGCAGTCTGACAAAATGGTGTCGGACATGGAAGTGCATATGAAGCAAAGGTGTGTCACTGAATTCCTCCATGTGGAAAAAATGGCACCCACTGACATTCAATGGCATTTGCTGAACGTTCATGAAGACCAAACAATGGATGTCAGCACAGTGAAGCAGTGGGTGGTGTGTTTCAGCAGTGACAACAGTGACCAGAAAGGCAAGCCGTGTTCCAGATAGTCATGCACAGCATAAAATGAAGAGTGCCTTGATCAGCTCATTGAGAGAAATTACAGAATTTGTCAGATTACAACCAGGGCGCTCTGTCCAGAGTTGAATATCAGCTTCAGTGAATTGGAAACAACAGTGGTAACGCTGGAATACTGCAAAGTTTGTGCCAGGTGGGTCCCACAAATGTTCACGCAGGAACAGAAAGAACACCACATGCAAATTTGTCAGAACCTACTGAACCAGCACAAGGCTGAAGGTGACAGTTTCATGGATCACATCATTACCAGTGCCAAGGTGTAGCAACTCTACTATGGGCCACTGTGTGTAGGCCCCTTCTCCACGGTAATCTTCCCATGAATTTGTACCCAGTTCAAGCAGGCTCTTTGCTGACCACCTTCTACACCTTTTAGTCAGAGCTTCCTGAAGGTCCTTTTACTCCAAGTGTCATGAGATTCTTCTCATTGTTACTTTCTTTTATGGATACATCCTCCCCAGGAGGACCTGGATTCTACCTTTCCAATCTTTCCTAAGACACTCTAATTTCTATTACAATACTCAGCAGTTACAGGGTTACACAAGAGGACATTCCATCCTAACCGGTGCTGCTGCCACAGCTGCACAGTAGTTTGGGGTGGCTCAGTTTGGTCAGGAAGTGCATGGGGAAATAATTTTGCCCAAATGCCTAAAAGAAAATTTCATTAACAAATCTGTAGCTCCTTGGCAGAAGGTTTTCTCCCTGTCTCATCGTGGGATCACTGCTTTAGCTCAGACTCTATGGGAAATATTAAAAAAAGAAGAAAAAAAAAGTGGATATTCTCAAAAATGTTGCTAGGGTTTGAAACGCATATTAGAATTGGCCTCAAAGCCAGTGAGACCTTAACATACAGAGCAACTTTGTGTAGTTCTACCTTTTATGAGATCTGGTGGCTGTAAATCCAGTTGGCCTAAAAGTAGATCTTGTGAAAGCAGTAAAGTGTTGGATTTGAAACCTTTTTTAGCTAACAGGATAAAGTTACTGTATTCAAGACCAGTGCAAGAATGGCCTTTGTCCAAACAGACACTGAGGAAAGATATGCTGCTACACTTCCAAGTACAGAAAAGAACAGCACTTTTAACATTACACCCTTCTAACTTCCACAGTTATATTACGGCCATGTGTCTGCATTCAAACGAAGGGCACTGGCAGCAATCTAATTAGCTAATAAACAGCCTTCAGAATACAAATTCTACACTGCCTGCAGAGTATCCACCATCAAAGCCACTTTGCCAAGTCATTTCCTGAGTGCAAATACAGTATAAGCATTTCTAGAGGTAAGTTTTCCCCTTCTCTCTTTACCAAGGACTGCAATACTGTATTCCATGTTTGTATATAGCTAGCCTGAGACAGATAGGCTTAACTGACACAATAACTGGGCATTCACAATGTGAGCCCAAACTTCTAAAGTACACCATCAGTTTGAATTCTTTAAATAAGCAGTTTACAAGAAACTGCGTTTTGAAGTGATAAGCAAGGTAACTACGCTTCAAAAAATACATGCAAGTAACTTAATTCTATAAAAATATCACTGCCTTACATCTCAAAAATATTATAGTTAGATAGTAAGATTTCTCCAGGTTTTCCTGTCCCTTCCCTGCTGTGGGCCAACCAACAGCCACAGTCCCTTAGGGGTATCCCTGCCCCAGTATGGTTTGCCCACAGACCACAGCTTCTTTGGAAGTCTTTTGCATGGAGTGTTGCCCTTCCAGGTCGCATTCCAGTAGTATATCTTCAGAAGCGTGGTTCTGGGAGTACTCTCAGCAGCTGTGTTTCTAGCCCCTAGCTGCTGCCACTTTCCTTCTGAAATGTGCTTGGCAGGGCTTTGTGTGCTCCTCTGGCTGACAGAAGCTCTAGCTAGCACTGGTTATTCACGTAGCTTTCAGGGTTGCCTGGAAGAAGCTGTGATAGTCACAGAGTGGATCACGGCCTGCTTCCACACAAGTTGCACTGCTACTCAAATCCTGAAATTTATACCTAATACAGTTTCCCGACAGTATCCCACCAGGACTTGGTTACATGCCCAAACACATGATGGAAGCATGTCTGTCTCAGGGCCTATTTCCAGTGTCAATGAGTACAGTATATGGTATTCTAAGGAAAAGAAAAAAAAAATAAGCTTAGGCTTACCTGAAAGATAATGAATCTACAAATAAAAAGTTACAGAGGGTTATAGAGGGGTCCAAATTGACCGAAGACAATATAATCTAAGCATTAGTCAATAAACAATACAGGAGTACTTTGATTCACCACTATCAGGGAAAAAAAAAGAAAAAGAAAGAAACACAAAAATATTCTGTGGTCTCAGGTCCTTGATAAGCTATTAAAAAATCTTCAGTATGGGAAGGCATCGTTTTTAAATCAGAAGCCCCACCACAGCTGAATTCATGGGAATGAGGTTGTTGGGATACAGTCATGCATTAACAAAACTGAAGAGGTAGTGTGACTACCTCACATATCTGGTAACATGAATTCATTAAAGAATGGATTATTTTTAATCAGTAAAGATCAGTTCCCTGAGACAAATTAATGCAATTTTATTTTTCCAGATTTTGATTCTCGGATTAGCAGACACTATGCACTAACAACAAGCACTTCCAGTTTATCTAGAAGTATGCTGACTAGATTTGAAAGCAATCTAGAGCAGATACATAAAAGAAAAAAAAATGACTTTTCTGCATTCACTGATTTTAAGAAAATGTAGCTTGACTGCTTGACTAAGGGAAAGCATAGTTGAGGAATGCAGTAGTGATTATAGTCTTTAAAATTCCAGTTCCTGTAACAGGAGCTACAAGCCCAGCCAGCACTGCATGAAATAACTGTCACAAAGACAATGTAAACCCAGCAGACATCAAAGTAATCCACCAATCTCATTTTTAATCCATTGCTTACACATTTGTAATATATGATGAGGAAAAAACAGTAAAACGTTGCATACTTACTTGGATCAGATTTAGAAAATGTATCTCTGTCCAAAAGATTTCTGTTAAAAAAGGAGAGAAAAAAGTAATCTTATTAAAAAAATCAGATACCAATGAGGATATTTTTAATGATATTGATCGAGAAGCTGCTTAGTTTTCTACCTTTTACTTAAAGTCAGTCAGTACTACCAACTGAGTCTTCTCACCCTTCTTTTTCTTATTTATTTTGGATTTGACCAAATCTTAGCTTACATACTCTGGTGTCTTGAAGTAAAAAGCAATACATAACAAGCATATTAACATATATAAGATACATCAGAAACAAAAATAACTATAGATCAAAAACTTCTATCACAGATTAACATGCTAGCTGAACTAAAAAAAAATTGTATGCTTTATTTATTTAAAAGAATGGTTATGACATCTCAGAGCCATTACGAAATATCTAAAGAATCTGGTGTGGATGAGTAAGGTAAAACAAAACTAACAGACAAACAGGAAATAGGAAACATGAAACAGAGGCAGGAAAATTCTAAGTGCCCACAAAATACACAGGGAAAAAGTCGGAAGAAAAATTTCTTTGTTACAAGGCTAATATCACAGCCATGCTTCAGCTAGTCTCCTCATACACAGATGAAGAGACTCATTATTACCAATAGCTCTAAAGATGTAGGACTGAACACAAAACCATCATCAGAATAGTTACTAATATTTCATCATTCTAAATTCAAATACATAAACAAATAAATATTATTCTGACCAGCCAAAAAATGGTCTGAAAACAGAATAATCATTGAACAAGAAATAGCTATTAAACTTAGGCAGCTAGTTTAGGCTTGGTATTACTTAAGAACAAAAGAAAATGAATAAAGAAAAGGTAAGTACACAGCAGCAACACTGATATGGTTCTAGGTATCACAACAAGCCATGACTTAAATGCAAGTCAAAATTCTTGTGCCTTTGTGAGGAAAAAAGGAATAAAGAAATGAAAATTGCGCTTTGGAAACTTCTCAATCTAGTCATCTTGCCTTCTTAATACTCACCACTCAATTCAAGCAATAAAGCAATAAAGGTTTAGGCAGAAATAATGAGAAGTCTGGAATACGCCTATAAAGAAAACACTGCTATATATTGACGCTGATTCCCATGTAGGCAGAACAAGGAGAAACAGGATTGGCTGTAAACTGAATTCTCTGTCCTTCAAGTGTGTAAGTTGAACTTTATTCAACTGCTTTACCATTTTTCTTGGTCAAAAGTATCCAGACATGATATGAAATCTCTGCCACTGAGTATATTTAGGAACAAGTTAGGAAGCCACAAGTCTTACCAGTTCTTTGAACTTACCCTGGAGCAAGAGACAGATTAAACAACCACTTCACATCACTTACAACTTACTATTTTTAATAATTACTGAGCTTCTCTAAAGGTCACTATTTATTACTTTCATTCAGATCTAAATCACATTATTTTCATGCCACTGCACATCATTGAAATGCATACAAATATGTCGCTAAATACAGGTTTTCTAAGCAGTGCATTTACACTTCAACAAGGAAAAGATACTGTGTCATCAGTTCAGGTATTGCCAAACCCACTGTTCAGAACAAGCAATGTGGGCAGGACACCTTTAAAAGAAGCTGTCACTTATTTAAGCCAGATCATTAAAATCATTTGTGAATGAATCTAAAGTCTGCATATACCACTTCTTCAACTGAAATTGTTTCTACTTCCAAAACACAATTCCTATAAACCTTGAAAATTTCAGAATTAAGAGTGACATGGAAAAAAACAGCACTTCTGCCTCCCATGCTCACACTTTGAGCCACCAAGCATTTGCTGCCAGGGACCTAATGAACTAAGAACACTTCCATACAGTCAGCATCCCTGAAAGCACTGTAAGGATTGAGATATCAAAGTCTGACATCATAATTCAGGTCAGTAAGCATCACTAGTACACAGTTTTCAACTGATACGGCTTGCAATATCTTCAATGTGATCCTTTGTACATTTCACCATAAATAGAAAATGTCTTCAGCAAAGTTTGCAGGCACCTGATTTTCCAAACTGTTAATAACCAACTAAAACACCAAAACAAGAACTAAGCACACTCATTGTTCAAGCAATGTAGGCTTCAAAGGGAACTTCAAAAGCCAACACCAACAGGAAACAAAGGTCTGACTTGTTCAGCTAACAGCTCAGGCTGCACAATTTCTTTATTTTCATTTTAGTGGGAAAACAATCAAAATGCTCCTTTAAATGTATGAAAACTGCAAGTTGCAGAAACACAGGACAATCTGCAACCAAAAGAAATGCTAAGAGCAAAAGGAGAAAGAAGGTTGGATATACTTCTAGAACTTCATGTCGTCTTTAATAGTCTGAGCAGAAAATGTTTTGCTTATGAAAGCATTCTCTTGGATAGGACTTTATTTTCTCAGGAAAACTCACAAATTCAAAAGCAAGAGATGCCAAAAACTTCTTACTTCCTCCTAATCAGAATATCCAGAAAAAAAGGTCTTCTATTTCAACTGACCACAATGAGTAAATCTGTATCACTATGATAAACAGTGCAGAAAAACAATGCAAAAAGAAAACAAGAAATTACTACAGATCATGAGGATTTTTTTCCCCTCTGGAGAAATACATACATCAAACACCTACAGTGAAGAACTCTGTGAATATCTGTGCAGAAAGTGCTATCCTACAGTCACAGATCCTGAAGGAATTCATTTTGCGCCTTCCAAAACACTCGCAGGAGCACAGATGACTAAGGGAAGAAAAAACAATAGGAGCCATGGCAATAACACCTACTTAGTCTGCTATGGAAAGTACAGAGGAGATTAGAAATACTGGAATAAAGATTTCTTTATCTGTATAATGAGAGCAATTTCCCAATGGGGGGGAGGGGGGAAAGTAATCAGTAAAGAAGAAAAGTTAAAATGCCTTGTGTGGATTCACTTTGTTCATACAGCTTCATGAACTCCATAAACATGTCAGTATGTCTATGACAGCGCTTTCCTTCAAAAAATTCTGTACTACGTTCAGTGTAAAACTGGAAGATCTCAATTATATATCAGGCTCTTTAAGATCCACTGATCTAGTCAGCAGTGTTTGCTGAACAGAAATCATTGCTATGTGGCTTTGTATGATCTGAATGTAATATAAATATACATACTACATATATGTTGAGAAAGGGAGATCTACCTTAAAAACTAGTGTTTACTCACCTCATTCACATATAATTTGCTTCTATTTTGACTTTTTTAATGATCAATATACTACCTTCCTGTTGTGCAAGCTTTTAAATTTAACCCTTCGTTATACTTAACTGCTACACAGAAGTAAATTCAGTTCCTCCAAAAGAAATTACAGAAATCTGGCACTGAAGAACAAACCACAGGAATTACAGAACTGAATACTTTAATGTGTGTTCCTCTGGTTTCAAAAAACTGTATTACTGGACAAATACATGTTTACACACTGTTTTAAACTGAAACCCCTGGTGATAAAATCAAGATTTACTTCAGATGGATTTGTTAGAATCCCTCCAACTGCTAAAGCTTTGTTTCTCTTCATCTTTAGATTAGATTTAAGAAAGCAAAGTGCCCAGGGTATCAGCCAGGGTGGAGTTAATTGTCTTCAGAGAGCCTTGTATGGTACTGCATTTTGGATTTTCCATGAAATAGTGGTGATAACATACCTATGGTTTGTTGTTGGGCAGCGCTTGCACGGGATGAAACTATTTTCAGCTTCTTGTACTGCCTGCCAGTGAGGGGCTGGTGTTACTCAAGGAGCTCATGTAGTTCTACGCTCTGCATGTGTCACCAGAGCAGCCGTGACACCATAGAGATGTTTTGGCTACCACTGAGCATGCTGGCACCGCATCAGGGCTGGCTCCAACACAAAGCCATAGGCTGTAGGTGGAAGAGAGGAGGAAACACAGCTACCAGAGCTTACCCAAATCCACCAAAGGCATTTTCTGTACGCTATGATGTCATGCTCACTAATAACAGCTGGAAGGAGGTGGAAAAGGAGAATGAAGGACTCTGGTTACGAAAACATTCGTCTTCCTAAGAAATCAGCGCACATCCTGAGGCCCTGCTTCACAAGAAGTGACGAAACTTTGCTGACTGGAAGTACAGGATAACTTTCTTCCTTTTGCTTGCGTGCAACCTTTGCTTTCTTTTCCCATTAAAATGCTCCCATCTCAAACCCACGAGGCGCTTTTTTGTTTTGCTTCTTTTTCCTCCCCCTCTTCCCCCACCCCTCCCCACCCATGTAACTATGATGCATGACCAGCCCTGCTTTCCCGGAAATAGCTGATTATCTGCCTCCAGATAGGAAGTGGTGAATGAATTCTTTATTTTGCTTTGCTTGGTGTGCAGCTTTTGCTTTATCTATTAAATTGTCTTTATCTCAGTCCACCAGTTTTCTCACTTCCACCTCTTCAACTCCCCCCACGTCCCACTGAGAGGTAGAAGAAGCCAGTGGCTGTGTGGTGCTGCGCTGCCTCCCAGGAAACAGCATTCGGTGGTTTGCAAACACAACACTGAGTTACCCATGCAAAACTGATTATTAATTTTTAGAAAGCATGTATTCTAAATATAATATACTCTTATATGAGCATACATCAGTTTTCTTTTTCACTTGAATTACTCCGTGGGGAAGCTTGTATGATGTTGCATTTTGGGATTTTAATGAAAACTGTGGTGATAACACACCCGTGGTTTGTTGCGGAGCAGTGCTTGCACACAGCCAAGGACTTTTCAGCTTCTCATGCTGCCCTGCCAAGGAGGCTGGGCCTTAGTCTTCCCAAGAAACCATCACACACACTGAGCCTTGCCTCCCCAGAAGCAGAGAACACCTGCCTGCCAAACGGAAGGAGCAAATAAATTCCTTGTTCTGCTTTGCCTGCATGTGCAGCTTTCACTTTACCTAATGAACAGCCTTCATCTCAACCTGCATTTTTTTCACTTCTGCCTTCCCAACCCCCTCCCCCACCCCGGGTCAGAGGCAGCTGTGCAGTGCTGAGCTGCCAGCCAGGGTTAAACCACAATAACAATTA